CCACTTCAATTTCTATGATAATATCCAAAAATCTACCTGCCATGAGATATATAATAACTGAGTAGGCTGTCGGGTGTATAAGAAATTGTACTGTCTGAAAATTTTTTGCACTTCTAAGATGACTTCTAAGATGGATCTCCTTAGATTTCACGGGAAATCCCTATATTTATTTATTTATTTGGCTTATTTATGTATTTATTTATTTATATAGTACAAACCGTAAAGGCAATACGCACATCGGTTAGGAGAACTGCTATGAAATAGGCACTTGGAGCATATGTATTCGCCTGATATTCTCGAATTACAGCTGGCAAATCCCCGATGAAGACCTGAGCGACAAACTTTGCAAACCGATTCGTTTTGAAAGACGGTATTTTGGTAAACAGCGGCCTCAATTGCCGGAATTTGCCTGTATAGGCAAAAGGCAATAATAACAACTTACATAAAGACTTGGAAATAAGTAAATGAAAGACATGTCAGCAACTGCACGTATAGCGGCTCCTTTGTAGTTCATAAGAGTGTCTTTAGTAAATCTCGTGTCAAAGAAAATCATTCCAAGAATGAAGGAAACGACCTAAATACAAAACAATTTTTCCGAGGGTTTTCAGACTGATTTATTGTTTTTTTGGCAGGTTACACAACGGGTAGAGTCCATCTACGGCAATAAGTGCATTCCCGTATGTGAGTACTTCGCAATAGGATGGGACAGCGGCGATACCTGACTGAACAGGCACATAGCACGTCCTGCCTTCGGGGAACAATTTTGCAAAATAAGACCCCCGCCCCTTCGCAATTCCTTTCTCTGGAACCATCTCCTCTTCCCCACCCCCTATCCCACCTACCATCTTCCTTATTCCTCCTAACTTCCTACCACGTTTCTGGAGTTCCTTTTTCTGGGAGTTAGAACGTCTCCAACGTCTCTCTGAAAACGCCGTCCATCATTAGTTGGGGATTCTGGTCGGGTCCGTACGACCCCCTCCTTTTTCTGGCTTGGTACGAACTCCTCCCTCCCAACGACGAGCAAATACGACCCCCTCTATATAACGTCCCTGAAACAAGAAATCAACCATCGAAAAAATCTTTCCAGACCGAGTACGTGAAAATTCGGTAGAATTTGATAACTTGAGACTTTTTTCTCGAAGGCATATACGACCCTTTCCTCTCTCTCTCCAGCGACCAGATAACAACGACACCCCCGCTGGGAATCCCCGTACGACGTGCCCAGAACAGGTAGGCAATACGTTTACCATTCGCAAAGTTTCTCTTTAATATCATCATACCTCACCTCACGTATGATATGTGGGTAAGTGACTTACAATAGTCTTTATAAGACGTGTGAAAAATCCCTGCCAATCTCTCGCCATGATTTTAGAAGACCTTATGAATAGCCACCACAGCTGAGCAATCCACGATGCAGAGTATCTAAATATAACTGTTTGTCACCAAACCACTCTTGGGCAAACAACCTTGGGGCATTCAAAGCACTTCTTGTGCAAAACCGATATTTTCTCTGTCAGGGTTCTCGCCTAAGGTTGAAAGAAGGAGCTCCGGAGCTATTTAACTGTTTGAGGGATGGCAGTGCTATTTGGTCCTTCAAATGAGCTCAGGGTTATTAGTCCCCTCATCTCACACAGGGACTACTTGGCTTCTACATCTCACAATGGGAAAACGCTCTGTGAAGCATCCTCTGTTTGGTCGAAGCAAACAAGCATCTTAATCACATCACGTGAATGTCGCACATGACATGATAAAGATGCTGATGAAAGATGTACATGGCACATCTTAGAATGTTGCTGAGAACATACTGCGATGCTCTTCCCTTTTGAGGGTAGTCATTTCAACATCCCGTGTGCAAAAGTGGGATTAAAATTCTTTTTTATCTGGAGAGTTTGGTCCACTCACCCTGGAACTCTCTTCGTATCTAGGCTCAGGCGGAAAATTTCAACTCCTTTAAGTTGCACCTGGGGTACGCTACTGCGCTGTGTGAACTTCTGCTTAAAGGCAGTTGGCACGATAAATCCCCAAGACGAGTAGGATTAATACGCCTGGCAGGACGGAATTCCGCGACCCTGAGCAGGCGCTGCATAATGCCTTTTCCAAGAAGGTGCTTATAAGGGCCCTATCAAGCCCACAACATACCGACCCAACACGCCGTGCCCACGCCGCCGCCCGCTCGACCAAAAGGAACGACCCGTTCCTGACTGCTCTAATCGATTCATTTGCTAAGCAAATTATGAAGCGAAGGGATTGGTATGAAGCGGCCGTGATGCTGCATGGATAGTACACATATGCAGCCGTACCTTCGGTAGCGGTTATTGGCAAGATGCCTACAGGAAACTCGTCCAAAATTGATTTCTAACACATTGAGAACGGAGGCTCTTTCTTCGCAGGATTTTGACCGTTTCACTCCGTTCTTTCGCCATTTTCCCCACTATATAGCGCCCTACTAGCATTTTAGGCGTGCCAACTGCCTTTAATACAACCTTTCCCCAGAATGCGAGTCTCGTGTACCCCCCCCCCCCCTTTTACGGTCTGATACGACCCGCGTAGTGACTTCTACATATAACGATGGTGTGACCTGGTTGCACTTGTTTCTACATGGACTCCCCCAAATTCCCCCAATAGGTCGAACAAACCTGCTCCTTTATCCTAAATAGAACAATAATATTATGCTCGTAACACACCTTGCTCCGTCTCCAATATTAAGCTTGCCTCTCATTTCTGATGAGGTCACAACAAACGCGTGCGTCACACGATGAACAATCTTCTCCTCCTCCGATGTTTCATACGACTCCACAAGATTCTTAAATTACCAGATTAAATTAGTTAATTCAAATGTTTCCCTGAAAATTGGTCATGATATCTGCAAACAATGGGGGGCGTGATGCGGTGTGGATTGGAGAGCTGGCAAGGAGGCCTTCTCCACCAATGGTGCCATTCCGAGTTCGTAACAATTGCCAGGAAAGAATGATTTGGCTGCGCTCCAACTCACGCCTCTTAATACACCCTGTCTTTTCCAGCGATCATGACTATACGAAAAACAAAAAATTGCAGCATCGTGTGACATACTTTGATTTTATTGTTGTAATCCTCCTCCGAAATATCGTCATCTTTAGAAAGTACCTTCATGAAATGATCAGGTAAATTGGTAAACCTCGGACTAGGATACCCACACCTGGAAACCATGGAATTGCTAGGATTCAGAGGACATTACCCGCAAATAAATTTCTGGAAATCCCGGGGTTGAGGATCTCATTTCACTTCAAATTCTTTTCAGTTTTTAATAG